TGAAATCCAAGATGGCGGCATCCGGTTCATGAAAAACTGAAAAATAATGTAAAATACCCCACAATATGGGTTTTTATGTAATCAGGGTGACGTGTACGAACTGGAAATCCATGTTTGACGCCATTTTGACACCACAAAATAGGTATTTTTTAAATCGGGATGGCATGGATTTCCGGTTCCTACAGGTCACTCCGATTCCAAAAATACCCATATTGTGGGGTATTGACATTATTTTCCAGGTTTTCTGTAAGTGGATGCCGCCATCTTGGATTTCAAAATGGCGTCAGACATAGATTTCCAGTTCCTTCACGTCACCCTGATTTCGAAAATACCCATATTGGTTTTCATATTAAGAGATGAACTAGCCTATGGCTAAAAATCTCTATAATAAAGAATTAAAAAAAAAAAAAATCCAGGTTTTCATGAACCGGATGCCGCTATCTTGGATTTCAAAACGGCGTCAGGCATAGATGTATAGTTCCTACACGTCAACGACATTTTTTTAACGCACTAATTCGATTTACGAATCCCCGGTTTGGTTCGTAAATGAAGATTCCAGTATGTTCAATAGGCTTATGTGTAAAACTATAGCAGTTGCAGAGGTGAGAATTCCCTCGCCAAATAGCAAATCGGTTGGACATGGCTCTTTTTGATTTGAATGGAATTTTGCACATATGTTGGTTGCTACCCAAGATGACGATAATTGTATGCCGGCGTCGGTGGTGTAGTGACAAGCGTGACTGCTGGTTCAATCCCAGCCGAAGTCAATGGGATTTTTCTGAGGCATAGAAATCTCTGGTCTCATCACTTCGAAAAAGAAGTAAAGCCATTCTACTTACCGGTTCATGTGGATGATGGGTACGATATAATCCCAGGTGGGGAAGCTGCTTCCCTGTCTATTCAATTGCCGTCAATTGTTTTTTCCTTGATGTGTTTTCCGTCCATCTTTTTTTTTTCTTCTTTTTTTTTTTTTTTATTATAGTCACTTTAACACTCTTGGGTCATTCGTGACTTGTCCGGGGGTGAGATTTGGACTCGTGACTTTGGCGTGAGAGGTATGGATGTTAACCACTACGCCGGGGTCGCCGCCTTCCGTCCATCTTGTTTTTTGTTTACTTACCTTACCAATCAGGCTAAGACCTTGTTGTCCTCTGCTGTCCGAAGAAGTCGTCTCCACTCTACTCGATCCATGGCCACAGTTCGCCAGCCTCGTAGTCTGCGAAGGGTCCGCAGGTCACCTTCTACTTGGTCGATCCACCTTGCCCGCTGAGCGCCTCTTCTTCTTGTTCCTGTTGGGTCGCTTTCTAGAACCATTTTCACTGGGTCGTCGTGCGGCATTCTTACGACCTGCCCAGCCCACCGTAGTCGCCCAATTTTTGCAATGTGGACGATGGATGGTTCTCCCAGCAGCTGTTGCAATTCGTGGTGCATTCGCCTCCTCCACGTTCCGTCATCCATCTGCACTCCACCGTAAATGGTACGCAACACCTTCCGTTCGAAAACACCAAGGGCGCGTTGGTCCTCCACGAGCATAGTCCAGGTCTCGTGGCCGTAGAGGACCACCGGTCTCATCAGCGTCTTGTAGACAGTCAACTTCGTGCGGCGGCGAATTTTATTCGACCGGAGCGTCCTCCGGAGACCAAAATAGGCACGATTCCCTGCCATAATGCGTCTATGAATTTCTCTGCTATGGTATCATTTTCGGCGGTCACCAGTGAGCCCAGATACACGAACTCATCGACCACCTCGATTTCGTCACCGCCAATCTGAACTCGGGGTGGGAGGCTAACATTGTCTTCCCTAGAACCTCTTCCTTTCATGTATTTTGTCTTTGATGCGTTGATGGCAAGTCCAATCCGTCTACACAGATAAAAAATCTGAATTTTAATTGTGATGTAAACATTCATTCACGTAGACTTGTATTTCATTTCACGCAACCGAGCAACTTGCAAACAATGTTGTTTGCAAAGATGGGCTTTTGTATACAATATTTGCTACATTGCATGAAATGTGTCAGAACTTTACATGATATATAATGTAAACGTATATTATATGTGACGCTCCATTTATGTGCATCACATTGAACAGAAATTTACACTACTTTTTCGAACTGTGTAGCTTCAGCCTTCAGTCTGATGTACGTTTCCGCCATTATCTCAAAGTTCCGTGCCATAATGTCGATGTCATCGGCGAATCCAAGGAGCTGGATGTACTTCCTGAATATCGTGCCACTCGTGTCTATCCCAGCTCTTCTGATAACACCTTCTAACGCGATGTTGAACTGCAGACACGAAAGTCCATCACCCTGCCGTAACCCCCTTCGAAATTCAAAGGGACTCGAGAGTGTCCCCGATACTCGAAAAACGCACATCACTCGATCCATCGTCCCCTTGACCAATCGCATCAGTCTATCCGGAAATTCGCACTCGTGCATAATCTGCCATAGGTGATCTCGATCGATTGTGTCGTATGCGGATTTGAAATCAATGAACAAATGATGTGTGGGCACGTTGTATTCGCGGCATTTCTGCAGAACCTGCCGAATCGCGAAATTTTGGTCCATGGTAGCGCATGAATCCCGCCTGGTATTGCCCCACGAACTCTCTTGCAAATGGTGACAGGCGGCGGCATAGAATTTGGGAAAGTACCTAGTAGACGGCGCTCAGCAGTGTGATCACGCGGTAGTTGCCGCAATCCAACTTGTCGCCCTTTTTGTAGATATGGGCATAGGACACCTTCCATCCACTCCTCCGGTAATATCTCCTCCACCCAAATCTTGGCAATTACCCAGTGCAGCGCTCTAGCCAGTGCTTCACCACCGTATTTTAATAGCTCACTTGGTAGTTGATCTACACCAGTTGCTTTGTTGTTCTTCAGCCGACCGATCTTCTCCTCAACTTCTTGAAGATCAGGGGCCGGTAGCCTGCCCGAGCAAAGTCAAATATCAGAAAAATATCAAAATGATATCAAATTATAATTACGAGACAGTTCTCATAATAATAACATTGATTGAACTAAATCATTTGATTACACTTGTCTCACTGAATGCTAAAACTGAACTGATTGAATTTTGCCTCAGTGGTCATACTTATGCCCTACTTCTGTTAATACTGCATAATTCTTATTTCTGCTGACACTTGATGATCGATGAACTGGAGTGGTTGCGTGGTCCGATGTGTTGCAACGCGGCACATTGATGACGCCATTGGTTTACATGGAAATGTGTTCCGTGATTCCTACGGGGGGTGAAGAAAGGACGTCCTCGTCCTTGTTGTTCTTGTTGTCAGATGTGACTTCTGATGACTTCTGCCTTTTGTTCCTTGATTTTGATTGTTGAATCTTGATGGTGAACTTTCGGTTCCGAAAACACACATAGATGACTACTCCTGTTATAGCGACTGTTAAAATTGACAGCCCGCCTAGAATGATGAAAATCAAATTTTGATGATTGTATTGCTTAAAGTTGATAAATTCCAATTGATTCCGGTTCTCTTTGGTTCAGATGCTGAGCGTTGGAATGTCATAATGTTTAACTATAGTTCGGTTGATTATTAAGCTGGGAAATGCGCCTTGCAGTTCCTTGGTGGTATCAGATTCTTTTTGTGATGTGATAATCTGGTCGTTTATTTTTATACTGCAATTGAAGAAATTAATCAAAAAATTTCCTGAATGTTTCCTGTTGTATGGTCCGCAGCTTGAATGCATGTATACACTTTTAGCGTTATTTATAAGAAAACTGTTATCCGAAATTAGACTAGTAAACGTGTTAATTTCTTTCATTGCATTGCAATGGCTTATGATTCCCGTAATCATTGAGTGTGTGCAATTATCCTCCAATTATTGCATGTATTCTTCTGCACGTGCTCCAAGGTCTGTTGCCGTGCCACCTTCGTTTTCTGCTGATTCACCGTTGAGGTGCTCGTCATAGTACTGCTTCCACCTTTCAATCACCTCACACTCGTTCGTGAGAAGGTTACCGTCCAAGTCCTTGCACATATCGGCTTGCAGCACGTAGCCTTTGCGCGAACTATTTAGCTTCTCGTAGAACTTCCGTGTGTCGTTTACGCGGTACAGATTTTCCATCGCCTCGCGATCTCGGTCTTTCTGCTGACGCTTCTTCTTTCGGAAAACCGATTTTTGTCTGTTCCACGCTTGTCTGTATCGCTCCACATTCAATCTCGTGCGGTGTTGCAGCATTCTCGCCCGTGCTGCATTCTTCTTCTCTACTAAGAGTTTGCATTCGCCGCCAAACTAGTCATTTCTTCGGTCCGGGATTGCAGTACCTAGTGCCGCTGCAGCAGTACTACCTATGGTGGAACGGATGTCCCTCCAGCCATCTTCAAGAGAAGCTACGCCAAGCTGCTCTTCCGTGCCCTTGTTTTTTGTTCTGAGTACCAATTCTACCGACGATAAGAAGGTGTAGAACCTGGACCCTACATATTGACCCATTCGAACCAAGGGCTTTACTTTCCTTACTTTCCCGAAGGAAGGCATGGTCAGAGATGTTATGCTTCAGAAAATCTGACTGGGATTGAACCCATGCTCTTTGGAGTGAGAGTTTAAAAATATTGAAGAGTGTCATTTTTAATGTTATGTAAACACTTTTTTTTTCAATTTTTTACCCATTTATTAACGTGTATTTTTAATGAAAAAAAAAATCTTACAACTTATACTTCATTTCGATTGGAAGTGACGTTTTCGACTTTTTTTGTGAGGTGGCATACAATCCATTCGTCGTTTGGTATGGAACTGGAAATTTCAACACAACCCAATAAGACAACAAACAGTCGGAAAATCAAGACGCAATCGCATTATTTTGCTTTTCTTAAAAGATACTCGGTATCCATCATGAAGTTTTTCATGGAACTCACAAATTGACCTATTATGCTATGCGATTCCTTCGGCTATTTACAACTGTTAATGTGAAATCAATTCAATTAAAAGAAGTCATTGGAATCTCATAATTCTAACCAATTGTTCGTTTTCCATTTTATTTTCAGCTGCCAAATTAACTCGAAACATGACTAAGTTCACCGCTTGAAATCACAGTCAATCAATGATGTCAATCTATCGGGCAGACCTCAGCAAAATACCAATTCCCGGTGCACCGCTTTGCTCGAGCAATCCGATACTGCTGATACTACATGGCAAGCACCTTTGAAGACACTCTTCTTGGACCACACATCTCGGCTAAAGGTGAAGTCGTCGTTTAGAAGATTACCTTGGAGGGTTTTACCTCTCAATACAGTAAGAGCAAGAAGCGAAAGGAACGAAAGCTCTTGCATCATCATCGTCAACATCATCATCATCATCATCAGCAGCAGCAGCAGCTTAGTTGCAGATGCAAGCAGAAGAAACTCTGATTCATGATTTTTGATCCGTCACGGTACGGAGCGAAATGGTGTGCTATAAAGTGAACCCAGGACACGTGCTCCATGCGGTTAAGTGCGAAGCTATACCCGATGGCCCAAAGTTGGTCCTTCCGAGAGCAGGATGATGAAGAATAGTGCATTTAGTTTATATGTGTGTGTGTGCGTCTACCGACAAGCAATTCTCCTGGTCGTCGCCGTCGTCGTTCTCTGTGAGTGATGGTTTCAAGCTCGGCGTGGAAAATTATACCCTAGCAAAATTCGAATGCCGTCAGCTCGAGCAGCAGTGGGAATGAGAACGAAACGAGAAAAGTGCAACTGAAGAAATTAATAATAAATTATATTTCCCGGGTTATCCGTTCTACCTACCGACCGACCGACCGACGAGCCGCGAGCCTCCTACAACACCGTTCTTAATTTCTGCCATGCTCGCACGCTTGCTGCGGGAGTTGCTGTCTCATGCGATATTATTGCTGGTCTAGCACGCCCGCGTCGGAGGAGTATGGAGCTGCACGAAAGTGGAAATTGCCAGTAAGAAAGTTTGATTAGAATGGAATACGGGGCACAGTGGGAGTAGGAGCAATGTCGTCGAGTTTATATAATGAATGGATTAGAGCTGTTTGATGCAAATGGGTTTCTATTTTCGTGCCATTTCCGTAGGCTTGCTTTAATGAACGCTGGTAATTGGAATGCTGTATCAAAACTACCGTTGCAGGTATATTTTTGACTGGATAGCTACAAAAGGTTTCAAAATACCATGAGAGTAAATTTTGTAGAGATCTTAATTCCTAGATATATGTTGGTGCTGGCACATAACTGACGAATAGCATTTAGAGGTATCAATTTTTACTCAAATTGAATAGCTCTTTTTTTTCCTCTGTTCAGGATATAACACCACTGCGACCAGTAATTTGATCTATTGTAGTAGGGGAAATGAATGTAATGTCGGCCTAAAATCTTTGGTTTTTTGTACACACTCGATTACAATTATTTATAATTCTGGCATTCAAATAAGAGATTATTCTGTACTGTTATAAAGGGATCAAAATATTTCCCTGTTTTGTTTCAATCTGTTCCACGGGTTTCACTTCCTCTATTGTGATTTGTTTGATTGGCCCTCCGTTTGACTTCAGCAGTGTGGCACAAAAAATAGACAAGACGAAATAAAAACACATCAAAATTGGTGAGCCGCAGCAAGTGCAAATGCAAAAATCTCCTATAAGCTATCGTGAAATTCACGAATTGGCTTAAGGATCCTGAGTGCTGGTTTTAAAAAAATAGATATTTGAAAATCATGGATTGTTGAAAAAATATTTAGATAATTCATCAAAAAACTATCAAAGTTACCCCGTTTTACGGTACCTACATATCTTAATGCATTTTTTTAACATCCCAATTTGCAATAGACGCTCCCGTTAGTTAAGGAATGTTGTTCCAACCAGTGCGCAAAACAGTAAGGTGCAATGAGTCATTTTCATATGAATATGAACAGCCATCCGCCTCATCATTCACTGCCTCGTGAGAGTCTGAATGATTCGGAAGTAAACGAGTCACTGACAGCAGAGAACTCAGTCATTAGCTCAGTCAGCACGTTTATTCTTCCGTGATGGTACCCAATCCTTATTTTGAATGACTGAGCGTACATTTTCTATGGAAAAATGCCTCAATTACATGCTGTGTGAGCGAAGGCCAGCGATGTGAGTCGCCTGTTCGTGAGAGACAGAATGTTTTTGTTTGCTCTTTCATTGCTTCGTCCTTCACCATTTGGTACATACGGTAAACTCAGCAAAAGCAGTCAATAATTTTACGCTCTGGCTCCAACCCATCGCAACAAAAACAAACTCTTGACCAAATTTCGAAAATTTTATAGAAATAAAAATGTATTGACCCTAGCGTGTTCAAATTACCCTTACAAACATAATTCAAAAAACCTTCAGAAAAGTTTCGGATTCTTCAGAGATAGTCCGAGAGCTTCAGAAAATACCAGAACTTTTGGGAAGCTCAATGATCTGTAATGGTAAGTTCCGAGAACTGGTTGATAAAATTCAGTAAAATTCCGATGAAGATCAAAGATCTCCAGAACTTCATGAAAATTTCAGAAACTTCACATAAGTTTCAAGAACTTCTGGGAAGATCAGATTGCTTCAGGTATAAACATCTTAAGGAATGATTAAAGAACTTCGGAACACTTCTAAGATCTTAAGGCAGATCCACGAACATCAAACACATTGTGGGAACTTTACAGATGTCCTAAGAATAGAAATGAAATCGTCCAGAAAACTTCAACAAAGTTAAGATAACTTACGGAAAGTAACGGATACTTCAGGTCCCTCCCCTTGGCTAGTTTTTTAACCTGGACGTTGGTGGGCGGGCCTAATCTTATGCTTCATAGTGGAGCGTTGGAGACGGTTGGTTTAGGTCCGGCATCGTTGGCTCATGCCGTGAAAGAATAGCGTCATGAGCATGCGATGAGGATTACTGAGCTTTCCCTCTCTGATGAACCATTGCATAAGAGAACCAAAGTTCTAGCCTGAAGTGATAGTATCACACTTGTTACTCCTTTATTTGAAAGCCGCGTTGTAGTACGCTTACTTATAGGCACTGACGTTGGGTGCGATACTGGCGGGTTTTGCTGCAAATCACTCTTATTTTATTTATTTTTTTACGCAGATAGATTTATTTGGGTTTGCAAGGGAATTATACTATTGAAATATTTCAGAAAGTGCCCAACAGTGCTCCTTCTACTTGCGTGACAAGCTTTCGTTGTTGTTTTAATTGAGGTATTACTCAGGGAACAATGTGAAACACCATTTTTGTACATGGTATTGCAACTAATCTTATATGTGCTTCATTTTGATTTGGGATAAGTGCTTGAACTATGGCTCGGGATTTCTACTGTGGCGTGCTTCTATTGTGACATAACCATACGTATTTTTTTGGAAACATAACATAGTGGAAACGTGTGAGCGTAGTTGAAGCATATACCCTGTGTAATTTAAAAATCAGATATTAAACTAACTTCAAAGTGAAGCATTTTAGTCACTTGAAGGTGTCACCTGGGACGAACTAATATATATTAAATATAGGTCAAAGTCAAAAACAACTTGAAACACGTTAAATTTTAGATTACATTCACAAGTGCAGGTACTTAATAAAGCATGGTAGGTAGATTAGAGATTTCAATTATTTATTAAATTAGACTAGAGATATCATAATCATCAAACGAACTTAAATAAGAAAATTTAGACAGCCTAGTAGCATTAAGTAGATTAACAGAAGTGTTAGGCATCCGCATCGGAGGGTCCGCTTAGGGAGGCAACTAGCCTTTAAAGCAACTGGCAACTAGCCTTTTCATGTATTGTCTGTTTATTTTGATTATTGCTTTAAAATACCATTTTGGTATATATGTGAAAGAATGAATCAGTGGGAGATGGATTTTCGGTTTCTTTACATTTATCATCACTATGTGTCATTTCATCAAAACCCCCCAATAACCAGCCTTTTCAATCCCTTCCTTTTCCCATGGCGTTCAAGTGGTCCGCATAGACTATTCAGCCATTACCCGTCCTTTATCCTCGGCTTTGGATTGACTTGCGCTCCCATTGCCCCACCAAACGCTGCAAAATGAAATGAAAATGAAAGGAAAGTAACGGATACTTCAGGTCAGTTCTGAGAACTTTAGAGCAGTTCCACGACCCTCAGAAAATTAGGAAGCTCCAAAAAGCATTGATTGTTTTATCAAACTTCCAAGAGCTTCAAAGAAGTTCTGGAAGCTTCAGAAAAGTTCTAAGAATTTCAAGATCGGTCAGAGCTTCTGTGGCGTTTAATGAGCTTAAATGGTATGTTTGGATAGCATCCGGGTAGTTCCATAGATTTCAGGAAAACTTCTAGACAGGAATTTGCAGAATATTGAGAACTTCAGAAATGTTCAAAGATCTTCAGTATAGATCAGAGAACTTCTGTGCAATCCTATTTACTTCACAAAAATGTATGGAACTTTAAAGAAGTCATGAAAAATTAAAGGATGCTTCAAACATATCTGGAATGTAACTTGAACGCCAAGGAATCAAAAATATCTTCAAATGACAAAATGACAAGCGATCAACGAACCGAATGATAACGCTATGTCAGAAGTGGAAAGCAATAATGATATAATCACCTTCCTTATTTTTTATGACAAGCAGCCCGTTTGACACAGCTCACTCGGGGCGGTAGAAGGAAACGAGCAAATTGTTAGCAAGCTGCTTCACGAAGTAAAGCCGAAGATGATACACGTGTGTTAATAGGATTTTTTTTTCTTTTCTCGATTCAGAATTAAGCTATGTCATCATCTTTGTATATTGCAACAAAGCAGGCAAGCAAATCTATCATTATCCTTCTACCACTCCGATCGAGCTATGTTACAGAGCGAGTTTGCCATGGTAGTCGTAGCAACCGTTTTGTCTGTAACGTTGGTTGCTTTATGGATTACGGTAAACGATTTGTAGCCAATTTTATTTATTTATACGAAAATTAGAAGATACTGAGAGGTAAGCACATATCATCGGTGAAAGACGTGTGTGTGTGAGACAATTTGTGAAAAAATCTAAGGGCACCGGTGCGATTCGAACCCGCAATTCCCATTCAGTACACGGGTGCATTGCCTTTGCCCTTCCCGATGATGTTGTTGGTTTGCGTGGGCGACCCTCGGTTGGCGAGAAAAGGGCCTACAAAGGTTTGTTTACAAAAAGCTTGTATGCCCTTTTCAAATGTGGCTCTAGTCTTTTTGCGCAAGCGTTCTCTAATACACACCAATCGTCTATTACTGACGATATGTGCTTGTACCGCAACCACTCAGTATTGGTCTATGTGAACAAATACAGCTCGTATGTGTTCTACATCATACATGTTGGATAAGGGATGCTTTATGTTTTTGAATTCGTTGTTGAATACACTGCGGGAACATAAGGAATGTTCCCAGGACTTTTGGAAATATAGTGTATCTCAAAATTGAGCGTACAGATGTACTTAAATTTTAGAAAAGCCATGGCTGCATTAGTTGCGTTTATTAAAAGTAAGAGCTATATAAGAAAAACGCCTTTTCCTTGAAAAATCTTAATATCTTGAAACAGAATGAACTTTATTTTTAATTGTGCTCATTTTAAGTCACAATACAGATCATCCATACTTCACTTATTTAACTGAAATTCGTTCACTAGGTAAAAAATTGAAAATCGTGCGTTTTACTAAAATAAATCTAACTTCATACAGGTTATTCCAATAAAGTTCAAAACAAAAACGATAAATCAATAAACATCTGTTTAACCACCAGCCAAGATTTAAAAAAAATATATCTATTCAGAATGTTGAAAAAAATGTTCCACTAGGGTGCAGGCATGGAAAATCATTTGCATTCATTTCGTGCATTCATTTACATTCATTTGCCTTTAACTTTTTTCTTCAACAGCATTCCGCAAAATGATGTAAGTTTTTGTAGGTTTTGTTATTAGCTACACCTTTTGTAAATATATTAAATTCGTATCTCTTCTGCATGACGAAGCAGAGCGAACAGAAGCCACTACTATTTTTCATTGAATGTATTTTACATTCACTGAAAAACAGTAACAAGTTCTGCCCGCTCTAGTTCGTGATGCATAAGAGATACAGATTTGAGTTATGAACAAAAGTTGTAGTTAATAACAAAACCTACAAAAGCTTTAAACATTATTTTGCAGAATGTTATTGATGAAAAAAGTTAGAGGCAAATGAATGTAAATGAATGTATGAAATGAATGCAAATGATTTTCCATGCCTGCTAGGGTGTACGCTCAATTTTGCGATACACTGTATTTAGGGCACTTCTAGGAAACTTCAAGACCTTCTGGGCGGTTGCATTGGCTTCAGGAAAACTTGAGTAACTTTTAAAAGTTCTGAGATCTTCAGGACTATTCGATGAAATTCCAGGAAGTCAACAATAGAGATGATCAGTGAACTTGAGAAAACTTGTAGAAAGTTTGAATAATTTCCAAGCAGCACAAGGGAAGATTGATTTTGAAATCTTCAGAGTAGCTCAGAGATCTTCAGGGCAGATCCAATAAGCTCCGAGAATTTTAAGAAAATCCAGAATTTAGAGGATGATAAATGATCTGTAATGGAAAGGTCTGATAAACTAAGAACAGTTCCAAAAAATTCAGGAAAATATTGATAAATTTTAAAAAGTTTAGTGACATGGCGGGATCATCAGAAGTTCCATTCATATCAACAAAACTGTTGGAATATTAAGGAAGTTCCAAGAACTTCTTGGTAATTTGGGATCTTTCAGAGCAGTACCAAAAACTTCAGGTATTTTTTTAGAACTCCGGAAGATCAAAGTACACCATGGCAGTTCTATTAACATTTGGAAAATTGTGATAGTTTTAATAAATATAAAACATATCAGAAAATCCAAAATATTTCAGAAAAATTTAAAATATTTCAAGAATTCTAGAGAATTTTTCAAAACTTAGATGATCTTTATGAGAGTTACCTTCAAGGCAGTTCAGAATACTTTAAGAAAACGGCAACGATAAATTTCTAGGAAATCTAGGAAATTTCAAGAATTTTAGGAATACTGCATATCTCTCATGTGATTTGATGTGTCACGTTAGAGTTAAAGTTGAAGAAAAAATTTAACTATTTCCCCGGGGGTACCCCCTCAACCTTTTGCATTTTTGATTTATGTACTATGACAATGAAACGAGCATAATGGGATAGGTCAATTGTAAGGGGCTTGTCTGGTCAACTCTAGACGTCTCTTTTATCGAATGCCAACAAATCAAATTGATAGCGTTTAAACAATGGCAATCTTAATATTTTAGAAGCTCGTATTTTTTTTTTAGTTTTCAGATCAGCTAAGTGCTGGAAAATTTTACTAATATTTTAGTGCCAACCAGAATGAACTGAAATGTGTGTAGGGGAAAAGGGGCAAAATGGTCAAAAGGGCAATGTAGCCGTCAGGGAGGCAGCTTCCACACCTGGACCCTACCTATCGACCCATCAACTCATGAACCGGGGGCTTTACTTCCCTTTCGAAGGAAGACGTGATCAGAGATGTTATGCCTCAGAACATCCTGGCGGAGTCAACTGGGATTGAACCCAGGCCTGCTGGGATGAGAGATAATTACGCTTACCAATACACCACCGGGGTTGCTTTTGCAGGCTTAATGCTTACAGTCTAATTCAACTATCCATTTCATTTGAGTCTAACAAAATACTTTTCTCTAGAGAAAATATTCGAAATTTTTTAGAAAAATATCAAAACTGTTATAACTCTCTGAATCAAAAAATAAGGTCTATCAGTAGTTTCTTACAACTTAACGTTAATATTCGTTCAGCAGCTTTATGAATGGTCATTGGTTTCTTATATGACACAATAGTTTTATAGATTTTAATAAACATTAAAGATTGTCTTAACAAAATATGACTTAAGTCTATTCGGGGCAATATGAGCCACTGATATTTCAATTAAAATTCTTCAATATTGCATTATTCCTTTCATAAATATGACTGTATCATATGAAATAACATTTTGAAATAGTTGCTTTGGTAAAAAATTAGTCATTCACAAGACTGAAAAAATATAGCCTATAGGGCTCTGAAATTTAATTAATTCTAAAGAAAATAATTGTTTCTGTTACATCTTTTTATGCTAAAACTGTCCATTGTTGACCCTTCATAAAGCTTCATGAGAACATCATGTTTTACCCCGTTGTTTAAAGGTCGCTCATACCACCCTGACAGAGTGCTCATTTTACCCCAACGGTTTGATTTCGGTTACACATCGAACATTTTTTCAAATCTTCTTGCATAAGATCCAAAAGTTTACTTTAAATATTCAATTAGTATTCATGATGTAAATAGGGCTTGAAACTATCCATTTGGTTAAAAATCATTCGAATTTTCCACTGAATTTTGTATGATTAGTGATGTCTTTCCCAAGGTGGTCAATATGCCCCACTTTCCCCTACATGTAGTTCTACATTCAATACAATTATGGGTGCTTCTGATAGGAGCGCATATATGAAAACCCCATGAGTAACCTACTCTAAATTCAATATGACTGCACTGATGCTGATTCAAGCCATCGATCATAAGTACCACAGTAAATGATGAATTTATTGAAAAATGACAAATTCGTCATTATGAAAAATAATCAAAAATGACCGAATGTTTGCAAAAATGTGAATAATTGCTAATAACACACAATTATGCAAAGTTTTGTGCTCATCGGAAAAGGTCTAGGTTTTCCGATTCGTCATTTATCGTACTCAATATATATGTTCTGAATAGTTCAAAGATTGTCTAAGATTTATTAGATGCTTGTCCCATCATTCAAAACTGCAGGAACAGTTTTTTTGTTCTAACAAATTCGAGACAATGTTTTTTTACCCTGGCACCGTCGCAACGCTCTGATTCATTATTCTAACTTGGATGACATTCTTCACCCTCCAAACTCCCACTGTGCATCATCTGTATTCTCTCCGGTTTTGCTTTGTAGTGCTCCGTGAAAAATGAGTGAAATTTGTTGAAATTTTTCCCCAAGGCCATAACAAGTGCGAAGTGCTACTGAGCAGAAGCGAAGAAGCATTGAAGAAGAAGAATTTGCTCAAGCCAAATAACCGCCATCAACAACGACGTGAAGAATTATGAAGCGAAGGGTTACAATCATGTATCCCCCGGTGAGCATGTCCCATCGGTCCGGAACCCGATGGGACACCACCAGCAACGGATACGGTGGTCACAGTTATACTCACACATCCTCGTTGCCATCGCCGTCGTCGTCGTCGTCGTCATCATCATTATCATCATCATCATCATCATCGCTACCATTATCGCCATGCTCGTCTTATTCAACCACGTCGAGTGCCTCGGAAAAACACGCCCTCATAGAAGATGCGCTAAACAACAACAACAACAACAACAGCTGCACGGGCAATAGTAGAACTAGCAGTAGTAATCACGTCATATGGTGCAACGGTGGGGTAGTCCACAGCAGCCCAAACAGCGGCAATCAGCATGATTCGGAAAACTGCAATTTTAACAAAAATAGCTCCGGTCATCTGCCATCCGGATGTGGCTTGACCGCTGCACCTAGCAGTAGCAGCAGCAGCAGCAGTTGTAATACCAGTGCCAGTTCTTCGAATAGTTGTAGTAGTAGTAGTATTAGTAACGGCAGCAGCAGTAGCATTAGTAATAATAGTGGGAAACACCGGTCGTCGTCGTCGTCATCCAGGCGGGACGGAGACGCCGACGTCGACGACTGGCGGGTGCATTTCATCGTGGCGCTGATTGCCGTGCTGTGCTATCTAAACGGTATCCAGGGTGACTTTGTGCACGACGACATTCCGGCAATTACGATGAACAAGGACGTGCTCGGGCTGAGTCCAATTTCGCAGGTGTTCCGGAACGACTTCTGGGGCACACCGATGGCCGACCTCAGTAGCCATAAATCATACCGACCGCTGACGACGCTGACGTTTCGGTAAGTCTCGCTTCTCTCCTACGGTAGTGCACCGTCTGAAGGTGTGTCCCATTGCGATTTTTGTTTCTTTTGTGCGTTTTATGATTAATCTACTTTCAGGACACTTCCGGCTTTTCGGGGTGAGATGGGTTAGGGAAGGCAATCTGAAGAGTGCTTTGTTTTTTGCTGTGGCGAGATCGTTGATTTACGTTTACATTTAGCACACCATGCATGCTAGAAAAAAAGGATTGTCTTTACATGACTGGCTGTTATCAAGCTGGTAATTTTCCCTGCAGGTACTGAATTGTAACAGTGTATTCTAGGCAGTGCTGCACAATTTCGACAATACACGGTGATACTCAAAATTCTGCTTTGGTCACTCGTTTGAGCTAACAGTCATCGTCAAGGCAAACCATGTCAATTGTCAGTGACGAACATGTGCTGATTTGTTTATTAGCTAAATTTAAAATGAAATTAAATGGCTTGAGGAAAACAATTACATGGAGCCATTAAAGTGAACAAGCATCTACGTCCTGAACAGCTTGGATAACAATAATGTGACTCAGAATGCAAGAAATTACCCTTTCTGTTACCAGGTGAATCTTTGTCATTGACGAAAAAATGAATGAGATTTTGACAAAGATTTTTTTGAGGATCAAGTCTATCATTGACTATGTGAAAAACAATTTTGTCAATATCGAGCAAAAGTCTGTCAATGACAATGACAAATCTCAGCACTGATTCTAGGTGTAAAGCATTTAATAGCAATTGAAGTTAAAATCAATTACAACATATCCCGTAGTTCTTACGGTCCATAAAAGCTTTAAGTGTGTAATCATGAAAACAAGCTATTTCAATCTCCCGAAATCATCGAATTAACGACAGTGCTTGCAATAACCATGAAGTTGACAGCAATCATGGCTAACCAAATGAAATGACCAATCAGCCTTACTAAACAAAACTTCTATGCAAACCAATAATAACGCTTTTGAGTAGGACATGGCCGTCTTACCAGATAAGGTTGGCTAAATCCAAGGCCTCTGTAATATTAAATCGCATTTAGCTCTTGAAGCTTGAAAATATGCTCCTCTACTGCGGAACTGCTCAGATTTACTGTTATGCCTGTGCTTTTTTGTTCAGTCAGAAAAGTGGAGCGACGGGAAAGCGTCTAGAATGTGGAAAATCTTTTTAAGAAGCTTCTTTAGAAGCTTATTGTATAATCTCTTTGAAAGGTTCCTTTATCAGGTTTTTCTTAAGAATCTCCTTTAAGAAGCTTATTATAGCCGCTTGTTCGTCGCTCCGTTTCTATGACTAAAAAAACTCGGGCAGGACAGTAAATCTTAGCACGGTGTCTCTGAAAGATATTTTTTTTTAAAAAGCAGTATCGCTGAAACATCCATAGAACAAAAGCTTTGGGTCACCCCAACAATTTTTTTTCGAATTTTTAAGTATAAATCACGTCCAAAAGATAACTTATTTGTGGAAAAACGCATTAAAAATATATCAGGTCACCCTCTAGTTTAATTCATAACTCAAAAATCCAGCCATCCGTTTTCTATCACCAGCGAAATGGTTATTTCATCCGGGAAGCAGCTAAAAACTTCAACGGGTTCCGATCCAGATGGCGTACCGTCGTTAGTCCTCAAACGCTGCCTGACTGCTCTCGCGACACCTCTAACCAACGTTTTCAATCTCTTCTTGATGTCTGGCGTTTTCCCGGGCCGATGGACTTGCTGGAAAGAGTCTTTCGTGTTCCCAATTCACAAGCAAGGCTGCAAAAGGACTGTTTCAAACTACCGTGGAAACTTTTTGAGTTGATCATACTCGAAAAATTGGTTCAAAGTTTTGCACACTGTATCTCGACGGATCAGTATGGCTTCATACCCAATCGTTCAACGACGACCAATTTAGTTACGTTTACTTCGTTCATCATTCATGAAGTAGAACGTGGTCATCAAGTAGATGCCATCTTCTGACTTGGCTGAGGAGGGAACTTCTTTCAGTTTTCCGGAAGGTTCTGTACGGAAACGAAAGCGCATCCGTTCGCGGATTGTTGCAAATAAAGAACCCCAAATCAACTTGCCTAAATCAAGGAGTGGTGGAAAAAAGGAGACTTCTACTCCTCCTGGATTCCGCAGAACTGACTATACCCAGGATTTTCCACCACTTCCGGGGACATCCAAAACCCCTGATGCCCCAATTTTAAGAACAGAAACCCCTTCTTCATCTGGGTTGTTCTCATTTGATGACATTGTGGACGGTATTCTCAAATACCTCAACATTTCTGATCCTCTGAAAAGCATTGTCCTCACATTGCTTCCCACTGTGAAATCCTTCTTGAAGCAATTGACTTCAAAATGGTCCCTTCTTGCAGCTATCATCTCCCTCGATGGATAATTTTCCAAACGAGGTCGGGGATTTGATCACTGTTCTACAGTGGAATTGTCGAAGTCTTATTCCGAAATTAGATTCGTTCAAGTATTTAGTCCATAACAATAATTGCGATGCATTTGCCCTCTGTGAAACATGGCTCTCTTCAGAAATTGATCTCCATTTTTACGATTTTAACATTATTCGATTGGATCGTGAGGATTCACGTGGAGGAGGGGTACTTTTGGGGATCAAAAAGTGCCATTCCTTCTATAGAGTGAATCTTCCCGAATTCCCCGGTATTGAAGTTGTCGCATGTCAGGCTACCATTAAAGGTAAGAGCCTTTGTATTGCTTCTGTATATATTGCTCCTAGAGTCTCTGTTAATCGCAAACAACTTTTCGACATATGTGCGGTACTTCCCGCCCCATGGTTGATCATGGGAGATTTTAACTCCCACGGTACAGGCTGGGGGGAACTGTACGATGATAACCGTTCTACTTTGATTTATGATCTCTGCGACAACTTCAACATGACAATCCTTAACAATGGAGAAGTAACACGTTTGGCTGGTCCATCCTCGAATGGTAGCAGATTAGACCTCACCTTTTGCTCCAATTCACTATCGTTGGATTGCACTTGGCATGTAATCCAGGATCCGCACGGTAGTGATCATTTGCCGATCAAAATTTCGATTGCCAGTGGGTTCAACTCGTCAGAATCCGTTAACGTCGCGTATGATCTAACCCGTAACATCGATTGGACTAAGTTCCAATCCGCGATAGACGATACAGTATCGTCAGTGGAAGAGCTTCCGTCGTTGGAGGAATATAATTTCCTCTCTAATCTCATCGTCGACAGCGCACTTCAAGCTCAAACACGACCGGTGCCGCGATCGTCAATCCGTAAGAAAACACCATCAACATGCGTGGGATCAACAATGCACGGAGGTTTACCGTAAAAAGTCCGACGCGTTTAAACTTTTTCGGAAACGCGGAACACGCGAGAATTTCGACGCATACACATCTCTTGAACGCGAACTCAAGAGCCTCATCAAGGCCAAAAAACGGGGTTACTGGCGGCAGTTTGTAGACGGATTGTCGCGCGAAACGTCTATGAATACGCTTTGGAGTACGGCGCGAAGAATGCGTAACCGGTCTACTAACAACGAAAGCGAGGAATGCTCGGATCAATGGATTCTTAAATTCGCGCGAAAAGTGTGTCCAGATTCCGTGCCGTCGCAGTTGATTCCTCACGAAACCGCGAATTCGGTAGACGAAATCAGTCAGCCTTTTTCAATGGTCGAACTTTCACTCGCTCTCCTTTCGTGTGGCAATTCTGCCCCGGGATCTGATAGAATCAAGTTCAACTTGCTGAAAAACCTCCCAGACGTCGCTAAGAGGCGCATGTTGAACTTGTAAAATCAGTTCTTGGAGCTCAATATTGTTCCCGACGGTTGGAGACGAGTGATGGTGATAGCCATTAAAAAGCCTGATAAACCCGCGTGGGATCACAATTCGTATCGGCCCATCACGATGCTGTCGTGTATTCGGAAATTGATGGAGAAAATGATCCTTTTTCGCCTCGACAAATGGGTTGAGACGAACCACCTTCTTTCAGATACTCAATTTGGTTTCCGTAGGGGTAAGGGAACGAACGACTGTCTCGCGTTGCTTTCCTCTGAAATTCAGTTGGCTTTTGCTAAGAAAGAGCAAATGGCTTCTGTGTTCTTGGATATCAAGGGGGCTTTTGATTCAGTATCCGTTGAAGTTCTTTCAGAGAAACTCCACGCTTGTGGATTGTCTCCATTAATGAATAATTTTTTGTACAATTTGCTGTCAGAAAAACATATGAGCTTTTCTCATGGAAACTCTACAGCTTTTCGATTTAGCTACATGGGTCTCCCCCAAGGCTCATGTTTAAGCCCCCTTTTGTACAATTTCTACGTTAGAGAAATTGACAATTGTCTTAGTGACAACTGCACGTTGAGACAACTTGCAGATGATGGCGTAGTGTCTATCACAGGGCCAAAAGAGGTCAACCTGCAAGGACCCTTACAGGATACCTTGGACAATTTGTCTACTTGGGCTACTCAGCTAGGTATCGAATTCTCCACGGAGAAAACTGAGTTGGTCGTTTTTTCTAGGAAGCATAGCCCAGCACAACCGAAGCTTCAACTTTTGGGTAAACCGATCACTCATTCCATGTCTTTTAAATATCTCGGGGTCTGGTTCGATTCCAAATTGATCTGGTTCGATTCCAGAATTGATCCCACATTGAGTATCTGAGAAGAAAATGCCAACTAAGGATCAATTTCGTTCGATCAACTACCGGAACGTGGTGGGGAGTCCATCCACAAGATCTTCTGACGTTGTACCGGACAACGATTTTATCGGTTCTAGAATATGGTAGTTTTTGTTTCCAGTCGGCAGCTAAAACGCACATCATCAAGCTGGAACGGATCCAGTATCGTTGTCTTCGTATCGCGTTAGGATGCATGCACTCGACTCATACTATGAGTCTCGAAGTGCTGGCGGGCATGTTGCCACTATCCGTCCGTTTTTCAGAGTTATCTCTGAGGCTCCTCACCCGTTGCGAAATAATGAACCCACTCGTGATTGCAAATTTTGAGAAGCTTCTGGAGCTAAATC